AAGCCAGCTCTAGGTTTTTTCTCAGACTCAGGTTTGACCCTAAGGGGAGCTAGGGTCAGTAGGGTCAGCTTCCTTTCTGACCTGTCTGCTGGCCACTATTCTGCGGCCATGCCATGGTCATGGCAGCATGGCTTTGTTGGGTCCACCAGGTATAATAAAGCAGTCACTCAGGGGCTGAGTGCCAAGGACAGGTGACCCAATCACATGGTCCCACTGCAATCCTGCTGAAACCAGGCACCTGTTAGAAATGGAGCTGAGCATTTGACAACACCAGGAATGACTGCTGCGGTCTAGATGTGCCGATGCCTCTGCAGCTAAGGTTTTAGAGCCCTCTTCTGCAAGGGACATGCGCTGAAGCCTCCTGAGCTGGATGGTAAGCAGCCTGGGGTCTTGGGTGCAGACCATCAAGACCAGTCAAAAGCTGGTAACTGTTGAAGCTCATTCTGTTGTTTTCTCTATATTTGGGAATGTCTGAAATAATCTATATCAAAAAATTTAACAGGGGAAAATGCTTGAGAAAAGGCCAGGGCTGGGCAGTGGGGAGACCCTAGCTGGGAGGCAAAGCAGCCAGGGTCCAGCCTGCCTTCCTGAGAGTGGCTGATGGTGGAACACTCCTGCATAGGGAGTGACTGGGGAAAGGGCAGTGGGGACAGCCACTTGGCAGTTGTTTGGAATTCCAGATCCACCCCACCACCTACTACTACTCAGCCCAGCTGGCATGGTATGGGAACTACAGTCAGAGAACAGGGATTGTGACAAGGCCTGCTCTTCTTATCCCCACGCACTGGAGACTCAGCTCAGAAGCCTGGCATTAGAGGGGTTCTGGGCATTCTGGTCAGAAAAAATCATGGGCGGGGCAGTTATGTATAGTGTGGGGTCAGAGGAAGAAGAAAGAGAAGACCTCGACTTGGGGTTTAGATTTCCACTTCCTTCAATCCTCCCAACTATGGAGCACTTTGAGTATATAGAGAGGGTTTGATTAATTCCAAGGAGTCTGACAATTCAATGGAAAAATGCCCAAATGGTTTTCTGCTTGAGTCTAGCAAATTCCTACAATACTCAGTCAATGCAACTTTTGGGGTGACATTCTCCAGCCTTCCAGAAACTCTTCTCCAGCTCTACCTAGCACATAGCATGTCCTTAGGGCAAATCTGTAGGAAGAGTGAGGGTCTGTCTAGACACATCAGGGTTTCATAAAGGCCCATGGGTAAGATTATATGTGCTAAGGGGTCAAGAAAAGCTGACAGAGATGAGGTGGCCCCAAACAGAGGCCAGCGGCACAGTGCTAGGCCCTGGCAGAGGGGTGGTGTTTGGGAAGAAGGAAGATACAAGTTCTCCATCTGTGGAAAGAGGTGCCCAGTGAGTAGCCCTGTAAGGTCACACTGCCTGCTGATGCCCACCAAGCCAGGCAGGGTCCACCTCATATCTGCACCTCCTTGGGATCAGGTCAGTAGGGCTTCTGAAGACCCCTGTGAGGATAAAGGAGCCCGGGTTGGGGGGTGGCTGCTGCCCCTCAGTGGTGGATAGAGAGGCAGAAGATAGCATCAGGCATTATGGATCCTGGCTATCTAAGTTAATACATTTGGATGGGTTTTTAAACAATTGAATTGACTGGCAAGCAACACAGTTTGCCAAACACAATTCATGCAGGTTTTACTGAGCATCTTGCTGGCTAGGGCTCTAGTGAATGTGCTAGCATGGTCAGGAGCTAGCACAGAGCTGGGAGAGGAGAAACCTTTGTTCAAAAGAACAGCACACAATAGTGAGAAGGAAACCATCTCATGGACACTCCTGAGCACCAAGCTGGCCACACAGCAGAACTAGACACACGTGGGATAAAACATCAACGCGGCAAATGGTGGAGAGATCAAAGGGTGGTGACAACACACAGGATATGGGTCTAGCTATAGGAGGTGCCCCAAGGCTCCTTGAGTGCACAAGGCCCATGTTCCCCTTGTCTTAGGTTCCCCAAGAATGTTTCACACCTGTGTGCAGACCAATGCTGACTGTGGCATCAGGGAGCACAGAGGGTCCTGAGTTGTGGTACAGTGTGTATAGAAAGCCCTCTGTGAAAGTTACTTCTAGTACTGTTACCATCATCATGGCTACAGGAGCTGATGGCCTGTTGCCCCTTCAGGCTTCCGTTCCAGGCCTGGTAGAGAAGGGGCTACACTGAGCAGTGCTGGGCCTGCGGTCCAGGGAGGCCTCCAGATACAGCTTCCCTAACTGGGAAATGGGAGTGGAGCGGCAGCAACACACACCCTGGCTTGGAGAGGAGAGAGAGGGCATGTACCCTACCACTGATGAGGGAGTGAGGAGCAGGCAGCATATATGGGTAAAGGGGATACAAGGACTCACTACTCTGGATGATCATTTGGTGGCCATGCCAGGATAGGGTTCCATTTACAGTCCCAAACTGAGAGCGCTGCAGACATGGATGAAAACCTAGGATACCTCAGGTCATTGAGGCAGATGAAGTCCCACCACCAGTCCAACCTACTGCATAGGTCCCTCCCAGACAGACCAAGATCTTGATGTAGCAGATGGCTTATCCTTCCTTTAAGGATATTGGTAGGGTAGGCCATTCCTTTCTTGACCCATCTTCCAGAGCAGTCTGGATCTGTAGTCCACATCCCATGCAAAAGAACATTCCACTGCTTGTGGGTGGGAGCTTATCCACAACTTGACAGTCATGGGATGTGTAAGCTGCTCCCTATAGCCAGGAGGGCAGCAGGCTCTGAGGCTCTTACCTGTTAAGCCCCTACCTGGGGCTTAGGACAACTGCAGCCCCAGGGCAGCCACAGTCAACCCACACTGACCCACATCTCCTAGTGGTAGAGGGTGAACAGAGAGTAGATGCTGGTCACCACCCTACATCCCAAGCACAATAGCTCATCCCAGTGCTGAGCACTTATGAGGCCCTAGGACCAAGGCCAGGCCACTCAGCAAGTGACTCCCTGCTCTCTATAAGTGACATTTTCCCATGATACCCAGCTAGCACTGGTCCTACCCAGGATGACACACTCAGACAAATGTTTAGAGGTCATCAAAGTTGACCCTCATAGTGCAGGACCCTCACCTCTGTCCACTGCTGCCCAGGCAAAGGGCCACCCCTACAAGCCCATCCCGCCTCACTCCAGGCTCCTAGGGCATCAGAAGCAGCCTCCTAAAGTGGAAAATAGAAGGCCTGTTCAGAGTCCTCCCTTAGCCTGGATACTCACAGCACAGATGCCCAATAAATTGCCCTGCTCTGGAAACTAGATTAGGAAAAACACCCAAGTACCTACATGCAGACAAAGAGCAACCCATGCGTACTCACACCCACACAGACACACAGGCATGTGCTCACACACATGTTGCACACACACCTAATGTGCTTTGCATCACAGAGCTGCTCAGTCTTCTGTCACCAGCAGGGAGTGCCCAGGCCTCCCAGGGATGTTACCTGGAGACCCCCAGGAACTGACCTGGCACTGGCCCTGGACTTACTCTGAGCATGGAAGGCTCTACACCAGCACTGTGCCTTAACAGAAAAGAGCCAAGTTCATAGCCCCAGATCCCAAATCATGCCTCAGGCCTGAAGGCGGTCCCACTGACAGCATGGTAGCCCACATCTAGCTCATGAAGACTCTTAGGAGAAGGGGCACCAGGCCTTCACTGCCAAAAGCAGTTTCCCATCTGGAGTATAGAAGAAAACTTGTTTTCTGTCCTTGCTGAGGCCTCTGTACATAATCACCCTCCCTGGCCCTTTTGAGCTGGAGATCCCAGCATGGGGACTGACCAGCCCCAAGTACTACTAAGTGATGAACAGCTGGGACAGGAGCATCCCAGGTCCTTGAGGATCCCTAGCTTAGGCTCAAAGAACGCTCCCAGGTAGAAACACATTATCAGGGCCCTGATGGTCTAATATACAGCAAGTGCTCAAACAAGCCTACATATATGTTGATAAATGGCAAAGGGGTGGTGGGCTCAGCTATGGAACCTGTGGGCAGTCAGATTGCAAACTGCAGACCTACAGTCAGCACGTGGTTCTCATCTACAATCTTCCCACTGGATGAGGCTCACTCCCTGCTCTAATTCAGCCCCTATGCATCTCCCATTCAGGATGGGGGCCGGGGGGGTCAGGGCTCCTTGTCCCCCAATTAGCTCGGATTGGAGTCTGGAAGCTTATTAGGGCTTCAGAGTCTCAGGAGGGAAGGAAGAGGAGCATGGACATGGGAGGAGAGAGGTGATGTGGCAATGCCATCTCACTTTGGAAGCCACTCACTCCCCAACCCCCATGGCCCCACCAGACCCCTAGGCCACCCTACTTGGGGACTCTATCCAGATACCTGTTCGGGTTCCATGTCCTCATTCTGTATCCCATCCCTATGGAACTCACTAGAGACTGATTCTGGTTTTATATACAGCCAGCCTACATGATAAGATGTGCCCTGATCTCATGGGGGCCTGGGATCTGTCTACTTGGGTGACCCACCCCCACCCAGCACCATATAAGACCCTTCTTCACATGCCCGCAAATCTGTAGAGACTTCCCTATGGTAGGCAATGCATCATCCCCTTACTTAGAAAACTCACTTAATAAATTGCCTGGGATATTGCAGGTGGGTCAGGGGTTAGGATCCACTAGTAGGCAGATGCAAAGAGCAGCTCTGTCATTAGCCACCCACACTGGAGTCACTGGCTTCTCCTTGGCCATAGTTGTTAGGGAAACACCACCTAGCACCTAGTACCTCAGAGACCCAGTGACCTGGGAAGGGGAGGCCACATGGGAACCCCAGAAACAGACCAAAGTGAAAGTTGTGGTGGGTCTGAAAGCAAGCGGCCCCTCGTGTCCACTTAGCCAGAGGCACCTTGAGAGCCTTGGCATCACCACAGCTTCCTCTCCTCAAACCCAAACCCTGCTCCATCTGCATGGAGCTGCTGGCAGGAACAGCTGGGCTGGCCCCACAAACCCCTGCCCAGGCCCATGATGGCCAGGCTGGACATGCTGCCCCTACCTCTGGCCGACAGCTTCTTGGTGTTGATGATCTTGGCTGCATACTCATGGCCTGTGCAGAGCTTGACACAGCGTCGGACCACAGAGAAAGCCCCCCTAGAGAAGAAGCAGGGCAGGAGAGAGACACAGGGAGAGTCGATTAATCTTCCACAGACACTCAATTCAGCCATTGTCAGGCCTATAGCACATGGCCAGTGACCAAAAGAAGACTATACCGCTCCCACAAGCTCCTGACCACCCCTTTTGGTACCATGACAATGGCCAGGCAAACATCCTGGGAGGAGGAGGATCAGCTATACCACAGGGAAAGGGCCTCACTCAACTTCTGTGCAGCCCCACGCTCTAGTACTCATTAGTTAGTTGGAATAGGGGCATTCCTAGGGGCCTTCCAGCATGCACCCTCAAGTCCATGGTACCCTTCATGAGAGGCAGAGCCAGGCTAAGCACTCCCTTCTGTGACCCTCACATCATCTCTGCACCCCAAAGTATTTTGCTCAGAAAGCTACTTATGTCACTTCCTTGGCCTGGACAGTCCAGGAAACCCTGAAGCGTATTCACATCGACAGTCCCAGGACAGGAGACAGTGTCTCAGATAGTGTTTGTGACTGTTTCTTTTTAATATAATACTTTGAAAATGAATCTGTAGAAAGGTACTGTTCACTTTTCTGCCCTGCATCTGACTATTTTCTTACTGGTTCAGCAATTATACTTAGCCGCTGAGCTCAGCGACTTCACTTCCGGAAATGGGGCAGGTTGGGACAGAGTCTCATACAGGCTGGCCATCATGGCCTAGCTATGGCCAAGTGGTCAGGGCTGCTCAGGGCCAGGGGTGGCAGGAACAATACTTGTTCATTCTGCATTTTCTTGTTCCATTTGACTTTTCCACACATCGGTTACATTTTCAAATATTCCTTTGTAAGGAAAAAGTAAAGAAAGAATTATTGATGAGGGTTTTTTTCATTTTTGTTGTTTGTTTTGTTTTGTTTTTGCCATGCAAGATGGAACCAGAGAATTTCACTGTAGGCAAGCATGCTACGACTGAACTATACTCTAGGCTGGATTACTGTTTTTCACAGGCACTGTCCTGGGAAACAGTGGGGTGAAGGGAAAGGTCACTGGTATAGTACTTGGTCTTGTTTCATCTGTGTCTATCACTTCCTGGTTGTGCAGGTTGATGTCATTCCATGAGCTTCAATTTTCCCATCTATAGTGAGACAGAAGGGCCTCTCACAAGGTGGTTCTGTGGCTCTTTGCCAAAGCCAGCCTTCAACCACAGACAGGCCCCCATTCCAGCAACTCAGGAAGAAGGTGGCTGCCACATGGTGAGGGCAGGAAGATGGAGGGGGCAGGATGCCTACTGTGCCTTGTGCTCAGGCCTCAGGCCACTTCTTCCACTCTCTGAAGCCAGCCCTGAGAAAGGCTCCTCCCTATCACAGCCATCCCCCAAATCACTGCAGGCCTGGGGAGCAGCTGTAGAATCACCTCCTCTTCTCAGTGGCTCTGCCACTTGCCAGGTGTCACTGTCACAGGAACACTCCCTGGAAGGAGCCACAGGTATGGGCAGCATGTGTCCTCCAGGCCAAGGCTGGGGAGCCCCGACACCTTGGATATCTTTAAGAACAGGGGGATCAGTACCATTGCTGCCCCTCTTGGGACTCACAGTACTTGCCCACTGGAATTTATAATCACGGAGAAACAATGTGGATGAAGATCCTTGTTGAGCCTGTACTGTGAGCCTGTCCCTGATGCCTCAGGACAACTTGTATGCACCCTTCAAGACCCAATTCACACAGCTCAGTCTCCTCTGGGTACTTCCCCTCCTATGGGTTTCATGCTAATCCCTCCTGGCTTGGTTTCTCAGTTGCCCCTAATACTGAACCTAGGGCCTTGTTCTTACTAGGCAAGTGCTTTGCCACTCCGGTCTTCTATATGTTTTTATTTAGAGAAACAGTCTCACTAAATTGCCCAAGCAGATCTTGAGATTTTAAAAAATAGGTAGCTAATATTTTATTATGATTTTGCTTCTCAATTTTTGAAACTTAAGAAAAAAATACTTTTTTTGTTTGGTCTTTTTGAGACAGTCTCCCTGTAGCCCCAGCTAGCCTGGAACTCAATATGAAGACCAGGCAGGCCTTGATTTCACAGAGATCTGCCTGCCTCTGCCTCCAAAGTGCTGGGATTAAAGGTGTGTGCCACCACACCTGGCTGGGGGAAAAAAAAAAAAAAACTTTTAAAAAATATTTTTTCGTAGGCAGGCATGGTGGCGCATGCCTTTAATCCCAGCACTTGGGAGGCAGAGGCAGGCGCATCTCTGTGAGTTCAAGGCCAGCCTGTAGCCTGGGTTACATAGTGAGTTCCAGGTCAGCTGGGGCTACAGGAAGACCCTGTCTCAAAAAAACCAAAAAAAAAAAAATTTTTTTTATGGGGCTGGAGAGATGGCTCAGCAGTTAAGAGAACTGACTGCTCTTGCAGAGGACCCAGGTTTGAGTCCCAGTACCCACATGGAGACTAACAACCCTCTGAATCCAACACCCTCTTCTGACCTCTGCGGGCAATGCATGACATGAGTACACCTACCTACATGCAAGCGCCACATGCATACACATTAAATAAAAATAATAAATAAAAACAAAAAATTCATTTATTCTTTAACAATGTATTCTATTTTTTTAATTTTTAAATACTTTATTGGTTTTATTTTATGTGTCTCAATGCTGAGAGTGAGCAGAGCCTGGGACATGGGTAGGCCTGAAGTTCCCTTGGCTTATCAGAAGCACAGGTCGGCAGGGTGGGCAGTGGCTGTGCTCATCCTTGGACAGAGCTACTGGCACCAGACTGGCCCTACCTTTGGCAGCAAGGGCAGAAAGTGGAGCCACAGAGAGAGCAATGTGCCAAGGGGTCAGGTCAACTCTTTGCTGAAGGCCACCAAGAACTTCATCTGACTATCAAGGTCACCTGCAAGATGTCTGGTGTGAGCCTCCTGCCTCTGAACTTAGTAGGAAGTGATCTGAATACCTTGTTCAGATGGTGAGGCCCCCGGGCACCAAACACGTTATACGGCTTTTAAAATCAAATAAAACTAATTAAAACAAGAAAATACTCTTTGAGTGCTCAACTTGCTGAAGGCTCTCAACACTCTCATTTACAGCAGGATCAACAGTACCAGGGAAACGGGTCCGGAGAGAAAAGGGGAAGAATTAATTCTGTGCAGGAGTGGAGCCCAGGAACTGGGCGGCCCATTTCCATGAGCTTCTATGAGATGCCTGTGGCAACACCTGCTTCATCACTGGTGAGCAGTCTCCTTGACAAGCCCTGGGGAAGGCCCCAGGGAGGAAGAATCCACCTGAATATGAGGAAGAATCAGAGGGTGCACAGTCCGCAGGAAACCCATTTGCCTCTACCTTCTTAATCCCTTGGAGATTCCTGGTCTGTGCCAGAGCCTGGCCCATCGACTGTCTCCAGCCTTGCTGCCCTTCACGGACAGCATCTGACTCCAGGTTTTGAAAGGGCTTGGCTCTGAGATGCCCTCAAGCTAGCCACCATCAGGAATGACGCCCGTTGCTAATCCTCTGTGACTCCCATGGACTGTCTCAAGCTCTCTTCCCATGTTGCTCTGTGGCCCTCTCTGCCTTCTGCCACCTCTCCTGCTGCCCAGGTTGCCTCCTGCTGCCTCATCACAAAACCTCATCTCTCAGGAACAGCATAGCCACTGCAGGGCAGAAGTTGGCATCCACAGAGGAAGCAGTAGACAAGTAGACATGGACCTTCTCCTGCTCAGCTTTCACTCTGGCAAAGATCATGGTGCCCAGCTCTTAGAGTATGGGCAAGACACTGGTAATGGCATCCTCTGTCCTCACAGACCCTGCTTGGATGCCCTCTTCGGAGGACAAGGGGGGGTAATGGTTGTCCATCTTCTCTTAGACCATGTCTGGGTAAAATGAGGTAACCATGTGGATGCTACAAGGCGCCGTTCACCACTCAAAAATCACTAACTACATGATTCTGCTCCCGAGGTAATGTAGACAGGGAACTAGGTCCCTGTAACCCCCACAACAGGCTACAGAATTACTGCAGAACTGCATTCAGGACAGCTGAGTCAATGGGGTGTTCCTGGCTACCTCCCAGCCCTTGGATTCTATCCTCTCAGTGCAAATTTTCCCACCTCTCTCTCTGTACCCCCACCCTGGGTCCATGTGGCCTCACCCTGACTGTCTGTGCTCTCCTGCCTCTGTCATAGGCTTCCGCTGGCCTGTTCCGCTAGAGCAGATAACTATTTGCATAACTACACCTGTCACCAGGACTTTGGCCATCTCCCACAACTGCCTTTGGTTGCTTGACAACCAAATGTAGTGCATTTCTAATTCTCCCAGAAGCCAGCCGCAGCAGCAGCTCAGGGCTGAGTCAGGTACTTGCCCATCCACAGAAAGACTGCTGGCAATTCCAGGGGCTCCTACATTTTGGAGGTGAAAGATAACCAGGAGCCTTGGGTACAAAACAAAGATCCTGCCCTCTTGAACCTATTCATAGACAGATGCTTCCCATTCAGATCTCCTGTGTAAAGACCCACAGGGGTCAGGGCTGTGCACCAGGAACAGGCACAGAGCCCCGACTCCCCTGCCAGATACCTCTCCAGCAGAGCCTCTCAGAAGACCCTCCAGCAGATCCCTGCAACAGATTCACTCCAGCAGACCCACACCAAGCAGATTCCCACAGTGAATCCACCCCAGCAGATCCCACTATATATACCCTAGGCAAAACTTTTTGCAATAGGCTGAGCAGTCAACAGTTTTATCTCTTGCTATAAATTATTGTTTTGAAACATTTCTCAATCATGTACAGTTTTCTGGCCTAGACAGCTCAGAGTGAGCTCCTCTGAGTAGGGCCAGGGTTGAGGACAGAATAGCAGGTGCAGATCATGACCACACAGAAGGCCTTCTTGATTTATTTATTCACTTAGAAACTTAACATCTATTTGTGTGTCAACTCAAAAAAACACACACCTTTTCTACCTTTGATTATCAGTTCTTAAAAGTAAAGAGGGGAAGGTCTGTCTGTGCATCTATCGTCTTTTTTTTTAATGTTTATGAGTGTATTGC